TTATGCTTTTCTTGTACTTTCTTCTCTTGCATCGCGTGCTACACGGAGTGTGGCGACTTGAACTTCCGCACATTTGTGCAAAGTTGTTCGATGTCGAAAACAGACAGACAGACGTTTTCCCCATCATTTTTATTTTGTTTTTGGACTTTACTGATCTTCCCTGATGAATTTTATAGGATAGTTAGTTATTTAACACCAACGCTTCTGCTTCTATCCGTTTTATTTCATCATTTAGGTTTCTTTTTGTGCTACATAGTGCTACTGTTCGGTTTGTTAGACACACACACACACACACTTAACTAAGCCTGTCCTCACAGATACCGACGGATATCTATTAGCAGAATGCGTTGGCCTTTTTATAAACGCTAGTGTGCAGTTTACCTTCTTCTTCTTCTTTTGTTCGTTTTATTTTACAACTCAACACATCACAGCTATTTTTCTCCTTGTTCATTCTCTGATTCAAATGTGAGTTTGATTCCCTTTACTAGTGAGTTTATATGTGTGCGAAGAAACTACAGATATTTTCTGTAATTTAACACAATGAAAGTGATCACGAGCTACCTAGAATGCTGGCCACATCGCGAACCTGACTGCAGATAGAATTCACAGTCTGCTTCAAAATAAGGACTCTAAACACATCATACTAGTTAGTGACTTAGTGTCCAATCAAAGTATCCAATACAGTCAGTCATACAGGAGGTCAGTCGCCGGCCTGAAGAGCTCAGTGGTAACGTCTTCTCTGACTGCAGGGAGCACTAGGTGATGATGCTGAGTCGAATCTCAGAAAGAAGGGACATGAGTTCCTTTAAGGTTGATTGCAGATACGCCTTGCTGACTGACTGATTGATGAGTGTCAACAAGCACGAAATCTAGGTCAGGCAAGGCTTCCTGTAGCCGATCGCCGATTACAATTCGTCGTAATATTCCTTGTAGTGGGAATACAAACTGATATGTATCCATATATATATATATATATATATATATATATATATATATATATATATATATATATATATATATGTGTGTATGGTAATCTGTCTTTCTGTTTGCTCGCTTAGTCTGTGACCATTTCACTTTGATGAACCTGTCTCCTTTAACAATGTATATTCACCTTATAATATATATAATATGTGTGTTTGTTGACAGTCCGTTGCTTGGTGACATATATCCATATTATATGTGTGGTTGTTGACATGTCTGCTATATTTTGCTATGTATATATAGATCGATACTCCATTATAATTAGCCATTCATGTTAAGACTGTCTATTGATTTGTTCACACACTTGTCTGGACATTCATATATATTTCGCTCTCACAATCTTGTGTGACACTTTGGTGTGATACCACTTATTGCTTCTCCTTGTGTTTGGAAAACAGAAGTATCATCGCAAACGTATTGGTCTTCTGATTTCCACCTTCTTGCGTCAGGACTATTAAATTCTCGACCAGTACATAGCAATAATTTGGCGACGGGGAAAACTACTATTAACCACTCAGCAGCAGTACATAATACAAACCAATCGACTGACCGACTGACTGACTGGCTGATTAACTGCACTGCAACGTAGAACTTCGCTCAGAAGAGCAACAGTGGGAGTTAGCACACTCCATGCAGCAGAAAACAAACAAACAAATAAAACCAGAAAATTCAAAGAAACCTTATTGAAAAGAAGTATACAAGAAAAACATGAGTGTCTAAAGGATACAAGAGATAATAATAACAAGTGAATGCATCTCCACCAGTGAGAACGATTCCAAAGACTCCATTATGGGTAAATTTTTGTTTTGATCAAGTCTCACAGTGTTGTTATACAGTAATGTTTACTGATGACCCCGTTTCGAGCACAAACTATTGCCACTCATAATGATTATGAGCAATATACTCTGCCATAGTGCACAAGTTTTATTCTTATATCAATGATTCCAAGGACCCCACCAACAATATGGTTTGCACACCCCTCCTCCATACATGGTTTACACTAACAGTCAAAGATGTCATAGATTAGATCCAGAGGTTGATTTGACCACTTCTAACTCGTTTTCAACTTAATCCTATATGGGTTAGCATTGTGCACATCGCGGAACAGTAGTGTCTCGACAAGCTTAACATGTATTCATTCTATCCATCTCGACTGACGTATCTTTAATACTTTATTAACTGATTTGCTCAATTCATTGTATCACTAAACAAGAGATAGGATGAAAATATTATCTATGGTCACTGGATATCGCATCTAAGCCAGAGAGGTCATATAAGTTGGTGAATACCGAACAAGGTTTCTGATTCATGCTAAGATTCAGTCAGCAATCAGTTCATAAGGGCTGAGATAACCTTTAAAATAGGCGAAATGGTAAACATATTCTACCATTTCATCCCCTATCTGTTAGCTTGGTGGTTGATGCGGTTCAGTCCTACAGCGTCATCTTACATTTAAGAGGTGTGATTCGCATACTAAACATTCAGAGATTTCTGTTCAAGCTATTCTGTCTGTCTGTCTATTTACAGCATAGAACATTGCACCGATATGCGGCAGTTTGAGTCACCACACTCCCTCCTTGTAGCACACAAACCAAGAGAAGAAAGTAGAAGAAATCCATGATAGAGACAGTAAACAGAGGTGTGAGACAAAGGAATAGTAGTAACGAAGAACAAAATAGTTTCATTGAAAATCATAAGTCACAAGGAGTGGATGCATCTGTGCCGGCCATTGAGAACGATCACTTTGAACCATATCACCAATTGTTTCCAACCATTGGTGTTTACCGTCCGAGGACTCCAACCAGGGAGTCTACACCTTCCTACGTGGCTGACTTAAACTAACTGTTGTGGATTTCATTGGCTAGTGCCATGTTTTGGTTTGACTGCTCTTTTCCAGCCTGACCCTATGTCAGCTAACATTGTTCGTCGAGGAAGGCGAGTTCAAGATATTCAGAAGATTCTGCTGTACATTGTCAGTGCCTTCATCTAGAAGAATAATGTCATCAGTATACTCTAAGACGATAAGACAGTTCCCAGGTAACAAGTTTAACCCTAAGTCGCCAGTCTCAGTGATTATTATAGGTTAGTTGGTGAATGGTGAATAGCAATGGATTCCAGTCAGGATGCGCATTTCGTCCTATTTGGGACTTTCCAGCCAACTGGATGTACCTGCATTCCTCAGTGAATCAGTGATGGTGTTCCCATCGATGCTCGAACACAGTGCTCATAGTTTCAAACACCAAAACGTTATCCACTAGATACCACTTAGACCACGAGAGCCACCTGTTGTGCAACGGGTCAAATTAATTATTTAATTGAATTTTATATTTTCCCGTCGATTGATTCGACCGACATGTCAACCGGAGCACGAGCACTTAACTCCAATCAATCGACAGGAAAATCTAAAATTCAATCAGTGATTATTATTGTTATTTTTGGTTTCATAGCTTTTGAAATCTAATGGGACTAGATTTAAGACTCAATCAAAACACTAAACCTCTCTTAAATAAACACATGTTTCAGCTAAAAGGTTCCTTAATGAAAAGGAACAAGTGTTATGGATTATACCGCTAACAAGATACGTAATAGCAACATCACTTAAAGATCAGTGGATGAATCGGATCTGGAGCCTTCAGGTTGCTAGGTAAAGTCCGTCGGCCAATCAGTTATATGGATCAGAATTCAATTCTGGTGAGAGCTGTCTGCTTGCCAAAATTGGTAGACAGCAATTTACTTCAATGCTTATGTCCTAAATCTTGGTCATGAGAAAAAACAAGAACAAAGACTAATTCAACAACCAATCACAGCAGACTTAGCGTGGGCGGATGCGATTAACAGATATATATATATACAAGGAATGTCTAAGAAACGGTAACAAAGAGATGACAGAATAACCTTGAGTAGGAAAACAACCAATCAGAAAACGTTGCTTCTCTACTAACAATAACGCTAATAATAATGTAAATAAAAATCTATAAACATGTGTTGATTTCCTCAATAAACGATTTGTTGCCTGGCCCTTGTCTTCAGTCGTTACATAATGACTTATCAATTCATGATATATCTCTATCCAACCTAACCAATGCCTACGTCTGGGGTCTCCTTCACTTTAATATAGCAGATCCTATTGGTGACTATTTTTAGTAACAATTTCAGGTAATTCATCCACTGGCCATAATCTAAGCATCTTAATACAAGTAGTACGAAGACATCCGTAGAACCATTCAGTAAACCAACAAGAGATTGATTGATGAATTCCTGTATATTAGAAAAAAAGGGGCAAAGTTCAACATTACCGTCCCGGGAGTGCGAACTCACGAGTGACCTTCAGCTGACCAATCATAGAAATGGGAAATTTTTTGCTCAAAAAATGCTTGAAAACGCACCAAACAGATCATCTTTCACTGATATGGTTTAAAAATACGTCCTAGTTATATCGAGGAGTATCATTTGCTAAGTTAGACTAGTTTCTCTACATGAGTATTCACCGAGATGACTACAGACAAATTGTTTTTATGAATCGTTCATCTCTCTTATCCCTCTTGAAGTCTTCCAAAACAGCGCTTGATTGAACTGTTATGGTTTCCAGCAAGAGGATAGATGACAACTTACCAGGAAAACGTGGATAATAAAACAAATTAAAATAAATGAGACATCAACTATAAATCTATCCCTAATCGTAACCATAAGCTTGATGCTGAATCTAACACTAACCATAACCTTAATTCTAACCCTAACGAGCTATTAACACATTGTCCAAACAGTACTTAAAAACGTGATCTGGGTAAAATATGCTCCTAGGTTGGTGAACAGCGTTGATATTTCAGCTGTGATAATGACAGATGCTGTTAGCCAACGACTAGCAGGCGTTCAAGATTATTGAAGCGTTCGCTCTCCTGGGACGCTATTGTTGAACTTCGCCAAAAATAAGATCGTAGGACCAAACCTTTCAATTAAAAAAAAAACAATTCTTCACCATTAAAGAACAAGAAGAAGGAATATAATATAGGTGTACCTACCTCTGGTATAACAACTTCTTGAAGCATTTGCATATAACGATCTGCATCGTCAAAATCTTCACGAAAACTTGCATCAATAACCAACCAGGCGAAAAACATTGGCCATTCACATTCAATCCCATCGAACATACGTAATTCCCATGGTTCATAATATAAACGATTCACATCTTCTCTAGCAGTACGATATCCATCACGTAGAAATCGTCGACAACCATATCTGAAGTACAAAAAAGAATCAAAGATTAAAAACTATACGAACCATACAAACTAGTACTGGAGTCACAGCAGTGTTCGCCGTGGTTTACAATCCGAAGTCATATATTGGATAACGTCTCGAGTCAGTGGTTTGGTTTTACACCTCTTTGATCTCACCCAGGGAGTTATGACGTACTAGCAGGGTGTCTCCACCATTTTTTTTGCAACCAGTTCCAGTGAAAAGTAAGCGAACCAGGGTGTGATGATATTAGTAACACAAGTCCAGGCCATTAGAGCCGGTGTCTGAAGGTGAATTCACATACACACCGGACGCATGTCGAAACAATAGAGTTGCCTAACACTTCCACCTCGGAGAGACCAGTACTCAAAGGCGTAGGTTAAGATGGAGGCCACTAAATCATTGTAAACCCACATAAGTGGTGGTAATACATTCATACCACAGTTTAGAATAAACATAATAACCATGAGAAGAGATGATGGAGCATTGGACAAACATTTCGAAATGTTAATCAGCATGTACATTTACGAACAAAAATTTGGCCAGCGATTTGTACCTATTGTGTAATAAGTGACAATACAACTTGATTGGTTAAAATTTAGTGAATGAAGTATAAGTCACTTAAACTCTGGTAGGGTGGGGTCTAAAATCGAAGTTGTAATATTAGCGTAGACGAGACATCTGGTTTTCGGCTAAAAGCGGGTGTACTGCTCAGCAGTCGCTCCGTCCTCCTTTATGGCTGGGTGTCAGACCTGGCCATTGAGAGTGCAAAATATGAAAAGTTTGGCTAGCTGTCTTTGATCATAGGTGCCTGTGTTCTATCTCCCATATATGTTACGTGGTATAATAGGGTGAGTAATATTGAGGTTAGGCGTCGGTTGAGTGCTAGGTAAGGAGAGGAAATCAACAGACGAGGATGTGAAGCTACATAGACTGAGATGGTTAGGACATGTGTTACGTATGTCCAGCCTAGCCATCGCCTTCCTCGACGGGCAATGTTAGCTGACGTAGGGTCAGGTTGGAAAAGAGCTAGCGGCGGTCAAATCAAAACATGGCCTCATCAGTCAATGAAATCCACAACAGTTAGTTGAAGTCAGGCATGTAGGAAGGTGAAGACTTCCTAAATGACTGGTTGGCGTCCTCAGGACATTAAAAACCAATGACTGCTGGAGACAATTGGTGACTTTAAACACCCAATGAAACTATATTGTTCTTCATTTTTTATTTTTTTTATTTATTTTTGATTACAGCTTGATTCCACACCGTATTTTTGGTACAAGTATGGAATTTTCAGCGTGGATATCGGTAGCCCAAATTTCGCAGGCCAACCATAGATATCAGGTGTGCGTCGGTGAGGGCTCGAACCCCGGACCATGTGCATGGTCGGCGAGAGTCCTAACCACTATTCCTTTTGTCTTATATCCCTGTCTACTGTCTCTATTTAGCGTTTGTTTTTGCTTTTTTCTTCTCTTGCTTTGTATACTACATGGATTGGAGTGTGGCGACTTGAACTGGTGCCTATCGGTGTAAACTTCTATGTTGAAAACAGACACAGAGACAGACAGCGAATCTGTGTGTAATAACAGTCTTCTTACCTCTCCGAAATATGGGAGAGGGGAAGGCATGTTAGGGAAGTTGGACAGAAGCCAAGAACTATACATCCCACCTTCTCCTGCTCGGGTCGAAGCCCGAGGTAAAATATTCATACAGCTACACCCTCAAAAACCATTCCAAAGCAGAGATTGTTTTAAAAGGATTGAAGCAGTCGTTTGCTGGGCTCCACAATCACGTAAGACTGAGACTTCTTCAGTTTCATTTCAGCTTAAGTTGGTTATAATTAGAAACGGAGATATAAATGTTCGCTATCTACCTTCTTTGCATACTTTATCTTAAATTATGTAACTCGAAATCCCCCGACCAATAGCTGCTACCTTGATATGGTGGTCACCGGACTTGCACATCGTGATGACCCAACAAGCTACATTGGCTGGAACCAATGTTCCTGCAGATCCTACCATGCCAGGAAGGTTGTTAGGATAGCGATTAGACTAAAAGCAGTTACTGGCTTAGTGTAAGAATATTTCTTACACTATGCAGGGGGTCTGAGGGCGAAGTCGTACTGCTGGGGAACAGAGGTGTAACAGCAGTGAGGTGTTTTCCTCAGATGACCAGCATGCCAGTCAGCTATGCTGCGCCTCCACTCTGGAGAGAGGGGTTAACAAAGGTCGACCCCAATAAATGTACATCTCGAGTTACCCTACGGTGGTCCACAGCCGGCGGTAAGTTTACTAATACGGAACCAATCCCAGAAACCAGTTCATACAGGCCGTATGTGACCGGCTGGCCTCAAGCAGTTGTACCCTGGGCTCTGCGGTCACGCAACAATAACCCTCATTCTGTTACAGGTACCCGAAGAATCAACCAACTTCCACGGTTTGGGCAGCCGGGAAGTAAAAACAGCCCAAACACTTCCAAAAGCACACGAACTCGAAATCCCCTAACACAACATCTCTCATTTCATTGACAAATAAACGTATTCAAAATTCATGCTGGAGATTCATTTCAATATTATTAAAATGCAATCACAAACACGAATCACTGAGAGATGCACTACACAAGTTGCCTTATTATTTATGCGAAGGCTGAGATAATTTTCAGATGCCCAGACCGAAACAGGTGGTTAACTTAAGGCGCCACAACCTCTCTCTCCACCCTCGGACTATCGACTTCAAGTCTCATCCACAAGGCAGAGGAGCGTCAGGAGCTATGTTCCTACAGTTGCCATCATTGATTATTCGGATTTTAGCGTCAGATATTCGTATTCGCCCGTTCACATTTTGGTGAGGAACAACCCCCCCCACACACACCGTGAATCAAAACTAGGTGCCAGTGGCTATTAAAGTCACTGAGAAGAAGACTAAAAGTCTACCCACTCTCAGATGTTCCAGATCATTCTAATAATAATATATAATAATAATAATTTGCTCTATTCCAAAATAGTACTTGTGATACAGAATGGAATTCTCAAAAATTCACTACAGTATTGCATCCAGTTAGTCCATTAACAATAAATAAAATTCTACATAGATTAAGGGGTAATCTCAGTTCGCTTTGACAACAACATATATTAGCATATCAGTAGCAAAGCCAAAAATTGAACAGAATGTTTGAAGGTGTTAGAAAATTAGATACTAACTAGCATATTTACTAGCGTAAGCGGTAACAAAAAGGTCGAAATAAACAGAGTGTGAAAGATTGAAGAAGAATGTTTTAAGTAGAGTTTATCAAGTAATCCACAACGGAAAACTCAGCGAGGCGTTTAGAGTAAACATAGGAGTCAGACAAGGGTGCTTATTATCACCGAATATATTACTAATTGTGGTGGACTGACTGGATTATGCGTCAGACAGTGGGAAATAAGAAGACAGGGATATCCTGGACCGACCGACGCGAAGAACCTAGAAGACCTGGATTTCGCGCGTGGATGATTTATGTTTGATGTCACACAAAATCGAAGACTAACAAGCGAGTGAAAACCGACAAACTGGTCGAAGAAGCAGTCAGCAAAGACAAGAATCCAGGTGAACATAGACAAGACGGATGTTATGAAAATAACCAACCAACCAACCAACAACAACAAAACAGCAAAATCCAGCACCAATCACCATCAACGAGAGGGATTTGAAAGGGTCACTTCATTCACTTCACTTATCTAGGAAGCATTGTCTCAACTAGAGGAGGAAAGAACGAGGATGTCAAATCGAGCGAGAATCGGGAAGGTGAGAAACACATTCATCATCAACCTGAAATCAATCTGGAAATCTTCGTCACTCTGCATCAACAACAAAATTCGGATCTTCAATACAAACGTCAAGTCAGTCACTTCTTCTATACGGATCAGGAAACTGGTGGGCGGGTCACAAAGAATATTTCCAACCAACAGCCTGTTGCAGACCTTTATCAACAACTGTCTGTCTTCGCTCTATACTGAAGATCAGATCAGATTTCCGGGATGGAAAGAATCACCAACAAGAAACTATGGGAAGAAACACACAAGAAGGAATCATCAACCAATAAATATTCAGGAGAAAGTGGAGATGGATTGGACACTCGTTGAGGGTGCTGGTTGGTGACATCGTGCGTCAGGCCATTGCTCGAGTGGAACCAGGCCGAAAGGGAAGCACGCGGCGAGTAGTGGGATGTCAGTGCAAAGGTGACATGGAGGAGATCGTGTGAAGAGAGTTGAAACAGTAAGGACTAACATGGTTGCAGGTGAAAAGTACACCAGCAGAAGACAGAAGTGGCAAGTGGAGACGTGCAGTTGAAGCCTTCCTATGTTCCACTAGGAACCCAAGAGAACAATAATAATAATATAGTAGAGTTTGTAAGGAAGAGAGAAACAAAACAGCACATAACAAAAAAGAGAAAGAGAGAGAAAAGGAAAAGAAAGAAAGCAAGAAAACGTTGTACCTATAAATGATATGAGGAGTTGAAAAGACAAGATCCAATTGTTCTACTGACTATTTGATAAGTTATAGGCTTAATGCCTCCTAATGCTTTCTTTGTCGCACAGAACACGAGCTAAGTAGGGTATGGTTGAGTTGGGTTTTTGTACTTACTAGTGCGAGCATACAGTTTTCTATATACAGGCTTCTGGTCCTGCCTGATGTGAGATACAAGGAAAGAGATGGGAATGAAGAGGGTGGTGGTGTGAGTTAGATAGATAGATAGAATGGATTTAGCCCATTTTTAACATGAGTCCAAGTGCCAGTCGACCAGAATATTAACAAGCTGGTTAAGTGACCTAGATTGTGGTGGTCGAAGGGACGAGGGTGTAGTGGAGAGGTGTAAAGACTGTTAAAGAGAAGGAAAAAAAGAGTGGCAAGGCTTACACTCACTCACTCACCTGCCTAATAACTTTCGTATAATTGCACTACGCGTACACTCGATTAATTCATCATCTGTGACAGCAAATCCAGGATATGTTAGAATACTTAATAATCCAGCATCGGTTTCTTTAGAATTTGATTCTCTTGGTAGCATACTTTTAATCGCTATATTACACTGTTCACATTCATCTAATGATACACGGATTGTTGACTGATAACTTCCATCAGCACCGAATAAATCTAAGTCTGTAAGAGCTTCTAAAGCGGCCTGCAAAAAAAAAACAATTACTGAAGTTATGAAAAATACAATTAAGCAAAAGTATTAGATAAAATAACGAAAATCAATCACATAAACGGAGTGAATTGGTGAATGCTGACTAGCAGTGGAATCCATATCCAGGATAACGCGAATTTCGTACTATTTGGGATTAGTTGTCAGCTGGCTGTGCTTGCATTCTGCAGTGAGTCAGTGATGACGTTCCCACTGAGGCTCAAACCCAGTGCCCATAATTCCAAACGACAAAGCGTTATCGACTAGACAGCCTGGGCGACGAGAGCCACCTATTGTGCAACGGGTGATATTAAATACTTAATTCAATATTAGATTTTCTCGTCGATTGATTAGACCGAAGTGCTCCGCGGTTACAGGTTGATATGCCGGCTTCTTGTGCAAATAGACATACACGCATGGCCCAAATTCATTAAATAATTAATTAAATTACGCAAAAGCACACCCATTACTCATCCATATCATGTACACAAAACATCCTCCAAAAAGTTAAGTTCACCAACCACAAGAAAGAGCAATATTCACATACAAATATAAACAGAGAATCAGAAGATGATACCAGGAGATAAAAAGCGGAATTATTCCACCTCAGGGAGTTAGTTATACACGGCGGTAAAGAGATCTAACAGAAGAACAAATGTGTACCGCAAATAAAAATTCTCCTTCATCGTGAACTACGAATAATACAAAAACACACAGAAAAAAAAATACAATTACAGAAAAAGGAGACAACAAAACAGCAAGCCACACAAATAGAACGAACCAAAACCGAAAAGGACACCGACAAAATTATAACCAGACGAAAGGAGAAATCTAAAGAAAGAGGAAACGACACAGTCCACCTATAAATACATTCTACGCCAGCAAAAAAAAACACAGAAAAAATATTAGAAATATGGCCAAAAGCTAAAAACTCCGCACCCGAAAACCAACACACACCATACACAATATAGGCTAAACTTTGGACCACGAGATCAGTCTATCTCATGGCTTCGGCGTCAGCCACAACAACCTACACACATCACAACATTCCATACACAATCATCTAAATACTTTCACAATATTTCGACAGCATTCCACATATATCTGCACAACGAAACCCATGCGCCTCAACACCAACCACAGAAACAACAATAACCATCAAGGCACCGAAACATCCATATCCCACCCACTCACTCTGTCAGTCGGTCAGTCTGTCAGTCAATACTCACCATTACACACACAAACACGCAAACACAGATACACACACACACACAAACACAAACACACCTATACGCCTCCGAAACGATTCACTTCTCAAAATCACCTTCCATACATCCTCATCATCACTCCACAAAACAAACATCAACCACACAACATCATCAACATCATGATCGTCGCCATCATCAACATTCACAAATCGCTCCCGACAAATACACAAACAACATACACTCCACTCGACACCACACATTCCATTCAATGTCCGGTCCGACGACATACGACTGTCTCGCTTCACAGCCGCAAACCAACAGACCCACAACACTTAATCTACGCCTTCATTCCGAAACAGCATGTCTCAAGCACACAACTGCTTCACAATTACAACCTCATGAAGGCGCGACAATTCATTCATCTACGGTCAGTTTGACAAGCGACTTATCACCCACAAAACATTCTCACCCAAAAATACAACACAAAACTCCTCTAGGTGAACTGGGTGATGCCAGACAGGCACAAAGTCCTATCCCGCGACCAACACACACCATACACAATATAGGCTAAACTTTGGACCACGAGATCAGTCTATCTCATGGCTTCGGCGTCAGCCACAACAACCTACACACATCACAACATTCCATACACAATCATCTAAATACTTTCACAATATTTCGACAGCATTCCACATATATCTGCACAACGAAACCCATGCGCCTCAACACCAACCACAGAAACAACAATAACCATCAAGGCACCGAAACATCCATATCCCACCCACTCACTCTGTCAGTCGGTCAGTCTGTCAGTCAATACTCACCATTACACACACAAACACGCAAACACAGATACACACACACACACAAACACAAACACACCTATACGCCTCCGAAACGATTCACTTCTCAAAATCACCTTCCATACATCCTCATCATCACTCCACAAAACAAACATCAACCACACAACATCATCAACATCATGATCGTCGCCATCATCAACATTCACAAATCGCTCCCGACAAATACACAAACAACATACACTCCACTCGACACCACACATTCCATTCAATGTCCGGTCCGACGACATACGACTGTCTCGCTTCACAGCCGCAAACCAACAGACCCACAACACTTAATCTACGCCTTCATTCCGAAACAGCATGTCTCAAGCACACAACTGCTTCACAATTACAACCTCATGAAGGCGCGACAATTCATTCATCTACGGTCAGTTTGACAAGCGACTTATCACCCACAAAACATTCTCACCCAAAAATACAACACAAAACTCCTCTAGGTGAACTGGGTGATGCCAGACAGGCACAAAGTCCTATCCCGCGACCAACACACACCATACACAATATAGGCTAAACTTTGGACCACGAGATCAGTCTATCTCATGGCTTCGGCGTCAGCCACAACAACCTACACACATCACAACATTCCATACACAATCATCTAAATACTTTCACAATATTTCGACAGCATTCCACATATATCTGCACAACGAAACCCATGCGCCTCAACACCAACCACAGAAACAACAATAACCATCAAGGCACCGAAACATCCATATCCCACCCACTCACTCTGTCAGTCGGTCAGTCTGTCAGTCAATACTCACCATTACACACACAAACACGCAAACACAGATACACACACACACACAAACACAAACACACCTATACGCCTCCGAAACGATTCACTTCTCAAAATCACCTTCCATACATCCTCATCATCACTCCACAAAACAAACATCAACCACACAACATCATCAACATCATGATCGTCGCCATCATCAACATTCACAAATCGCTCCCGACAAATACACAAACAACATACACTCCACTCGACACCACACATTCCATTCAATGTCCGGTCCGACGACATACGACTGTCTCGCTTCACAGCCGCAAACCAACAGACCCACAACACTTAATCTACGCCTTCATTCCGAAACAGCATGTCTCAAGCACACAACTGCTTCACAATTACAACCTCATGAAGGCGCGACAATTCATTCATCTACGGTCAGTTTGACAAGCGACTTATCACCCACAAAACATTCTCACCCAAAAATACAACACAAAACTCCTCTAGGTGAACTGGGTGATGCCAGACAGGCACAAAGTCCTATCCCGCGACCAACACACACCATACACAATATAGGCTAAACTTTGGACCACGAGATCAGTCTATCTCATGGCTTCGGCGTCAGCCACAACAACCTACACACATCACAACATTCCATACACAATCATCTAAATACTTTCACAATATTTCGACAGCATTCCACATATATCTGCACAACGAAACCCATGCGCCTCAACACCAACCACAGAAACAACAATAACCATCAAGGCACCGAAACATCCATATCCCACCCACTCACTCTGTCAGTCGGTCAGTCTGTCAGTCAATACTCACCATTACACACACAAACACGCAAACACAGATACACACACACACACAAACACAAACACACCTATACGCCTCCGAAACGATTCACTTCTCAAAATCACCTTCCATACATCCTCATCATCACTCCACAAAACAAACATCAACCACACAACATCATCAACATCATGATCGTCGCCATCATCAACATTCACAAATCGCTCCCGACAAATACACAAACAACATACACTCCACTCGACACCACACATTCCATTCAATGTCCGGTCCGACGACATACGACTGTCTCGCTTCACAGCCGCAAACCAACAGACCCACAACACTTAATCTACGCCTTCATTCCGAAACAGCATGTCTCAAGCACACAACTGCTTCACAATTACAACCTCATGAAGGCGCGACAATTCATTCATCTACGGTCAGTTTGACAAGCGACTTATCACCCACAAAACATTCTCACCCAAAAATACAACACAAAACTCCTCTAGGTGAACTGGGTGATGCCAGACAGGCACAAAGTCCTATCCCGCGACCAACACACACCATACACAATATAGGCTAAACTTTGGACCACGAGATCAGTCTATCTCATGGCTTCGGCGTCAGCCACAACAACCTACACACATCACAACATTCCATACACAATCATCTAAATACTTTCACAATATTTCGACAGCATTCCACATATATCTGCACAACGAAACCCATGCGCCTCAACACCAACCACAGAAACAACAATAACCATCAAGGCACCGAAACATCCATATCCCACCCACTCACTCTGTCAGTCGGTCAGTCTGTCAGTCAATACTCACCATTACACACACAAACACGCAAACACAGATACACACACACACACAAACACACCTATACGCCTCCGAAACGATTCACTTCTCAAAATCACCTTCCATACATCCTCATCATCACTCCACAAAACAAACATCAACCACACAACATCATCAACATCATGATCGTCGCCATCATCAACATTCACAAATCGCTCCCGACAAATACACAAACAACATACACTCCACTCGACACCACACATTCCATTCAATGTCCGGTCCGACGACATACGACTGTCTCGCTTCACAGCCGCAAACCAACAGACCCACAACACTTAATCTACGCCTTCATTCCGAAACAGCATGTCTCAAGCACACAACTGCTTCACAATTACAACCTCATGAAGGCGCGACAATTCATTCATCTACGGTCAGTTTGACAAGCGACTTATCACCCACAAAACATTCTCACCCAAAAATACAACACAAAACTCCTCTAGGTGAACTGGGTGATGCCAGACAGGCACAAAGTCCTATCCCGCGACCAACACACACCATACACAATATAGGCTAAACTTTGGACCAC